TGACGACACTGGAGGACAGTAGAGATAGGGGGGACATGATAACGACATACAAAATATGAGAGGAATTGACAAGGTGGACAAAGACAGGATGTTCCAGAGATTGGACACAGTAACAAGGGGACACAGTTGGAAGTTGAAGACACAGAATGAATCACAGGGATGTTAGGAAGTATTTTTTCAGCCACAGAGAAAGTCAGTAAGTGGAATAGTTTGGGAAGCGATGAAATGGAGGCAGGATCCATACATAGCTTTAAGCTCACGGCTCAGGTAGAGTGACCTAGTAGCGATCAGTGAAGAGGCGGGGCCAGGAGCTCGGACTCGACCCCCGCAACCTCAACTAGGTGAGTACAACTAGGTGAGTACAACTAGGTGAGTAAACTAGGTGAGTACAACTGGGTTTGAGTACAACTAGGTGAGTAACTAGGTGAGTACAACTAGGTGAGTACAACTAGGGGGAGTAAAAACTAGGTGAGTACAACTAGGTGAGTAACTAGGTGAGTACAATAGGTGAGTACAACTAGGTGAGTACAACTAGGTGAGTACAACTAGGTGGTACAACTAGGTGAGTACAACTAGGTGAGTTACAACTAGGTGAGTAACTAGGTGAGTACAACTAGGTGAGTACAACTAGGTGAGTACAACTAGGTGAGTACAACTAGGTGAGTAACTAGGTGAGTACAACTAGGTGAGTAAAAACTAGGTGAGTACAACTAGGTGAGTAACTAGGTGATTTACAACTAGGTGAGTACAACTAGGTGAGTACAACTAGGTGAAGTAACTAGGTGAGTACAACTAGGTGAGTACAACTAGGGGGAGTACAACTAGGTGAGTACAACTAGGTGAGTAACTAGGTGAGTACAACTAGGTGAGTACAACTAGGTGAGTACAACTAGGTGAGTAACTAGGTGAGTACAACTAGGTGAGTACAACTAGGTGAGTACAACTAGGTGAGTACAACTACGTGAGTAACTAGGTGAGTACAACTAGGTGAGTAACTAGGTGAGTACAACTAGTTGAGTACAACTAGGTGAGTAACTAGGTGAGTACAACTAGGTGAGTACAACTAGGTGAGTAACTAGGTGAGTAACTAGGTGAGTACACACACATCTATCAACACATCCTCACAATTTTCTTATGCAACTTGGACAATTTGCAGGAAATTTATCGATTTACTTTATTTATTTTAGCTTAGCTTAGGTTAGGTTAGATTGCGTTATGCTAGGTTAAATTAAGGTAGGTTAGGTTAAGTTAGTGTAGATTATGTAAGGATGGATGAGGTTAGGTTAGGATGGATTAGGTTTGGTTAGGTTACATTACGTTAAATTAGGTTTGGTTAAGTTAAATTAGCTTAGATTCAAGTAAGGTTAGGTTAAATTAGGGTAGATTTGGTTAGGTTAGGTTAAGTTAGATTAAGTTAAGTTAGATTAAGTTAAGTTAGATTAGGTTAGGTTAGGTTATTTTACGTCAGGTTAGGTTAGGTTACGTTACGTTACGTTAGGTTATTTTAAGTTAGATTAGGGTAGGTTAAATTAGGTTGTTTTAGGTTAGGTTAAATTAGGTTATTTTAGGTTAGGTTAAGTCAAATTAAATTATGTTAGACTAGGTTAGAGTTGATGTCCACTGTCAATCAAAATAAGCCAATTTTAACATACCACAACGGAACTTGTCCTGGTATGTGCCTACATATTACCCTACTTGGAGGAATGTTGCTCGTGGCTTACCCGGCAGTGACATCATCTCACACAATGAGAAACTAGCGTTTGATCCCCAGACAATTGGAAATGTAGGACCTGTTACTCCTGTTTACCTAGGTGTACGGAAGGAACTTGGGTGTCAGTCGACTGCTGTGGGTTTCATTCTACTCCTTGTTTGGTGTACTAGTTCAACGAGCAGTATTTTATATTACTGTAACAACGAACGAGTGGTTTTGATTAATAACAACACTGCGACTTAACGAGGCATGGTCTGAGACCGAGGTCTGGGGACGATGATACCCAGAACCACAACCACTTGACAGAGATGAGCCTCTGGATCAACGTGAGCTCTAAGAGAGTAGACGTACAATACCGTAGCTGGAACATTTCCAAAATTAGGTCTAGACGACGTTTCGGTCCGTCCAGGACAGACCGAAATGTCAGACAGATTCCTTTGCAAAGCGCGGATTATTTACGGAATGGAGACGCAAGTCAGCATTCTTCTACACGATCGCTGACGGCTTCATCTGACAAAGCTGTTTAAAAACGCCGCAGGATTGATGCGAATGACTGCGCATGATTGCAAGTGGAGATAGAATGATGTGTTCGCGTGCAGAAAATTGAGATCGATGATGAGCAGCGGCTGAGGACGCCTTCGAACAGGTGGGAATCACTGGCTTCGCTTATTAAAGACTATGGATTACTCTGCATGGTTGTGGACGATAAAGGAAAGTTCGGAATGACTGGAAATGACCAGGAATGACTGGGAATAAGCAAGAATGATTGGGAATAAGTAGGAATGACTGGAAATAAGTAGGAATGACCTAGGAATAAGTAGAAACGACCGGGAATGTATTGAAAAGATTGGGAATGACTATATATACATGTCGTGCCGAAAAGGTAAAACTTGGGATTTTGACTTAAATAGCAACGGTCTTCTTGCCGAATACGGCAAGAGAAAATTGAGTATGCAATAATTTTAAATTGTGCTTGTTACAATAAGGTTAGGTAAGTTTCCTAAGGTCCTTTTGGTACAAAATTATTAATTTTTACATTAACATATATGAAAAAATATATCTTTAAACGTACAAGAGAAATTTTTAGAGACTACTTAATTTAAAATGAGTTCTTGCTGACCAATTTTTACCTATTCGGCATGACGCACACACACACACACACACACACACACACATTTTATAAATATTTTTATATTATATATTATTTTATATATATATTATATATATTATATATATATTTTATATATATATATATATATATTATATATATATATTATATATATATAAAATATATATATATATATATATATTATATATATATATATTATATATATTTATATATATATTTATATATATATATATATATGCAAAACATCCACTCTGAAAGAAAAGAGAAATTCCAAGCGCCCTTTCGTGACTACTCACATTGTCAAGGAACTATGAAAGTAAAGCATCCAAGGAAGCTATATAAGGGGTCTGGCCAACACCTCACTATCAGATCCCACAACGGTTAAACACCTGACGCGCGCCGACCCTACTGGATAGGTCCTTTGCACAACTCACCCACAACTTATTCTATCCAAGAAAATTTAAAAATAATTATTTGTCCAGTGTATTATTAAATTCTTCCCAAATTCTATTAATTATAAATGGATCTAATTTATATAAACCAAAGAAAATATTCATATTATTGTCAAAACTGCTTTTTATGAAACAAGATTTAATTATATTCCTGTCGACCATGGACTTGCTTGATACTACTTTCTCACTTTTTGAAATCAATTGGATGGTTTAAAATCTCTTACATGAATAAATAGAGCATTGGAATCTTGTCAGTTCTAATGCTAATATTTATGTTGTTTTAATCTTAGTTCGAGATTTTTACCAGTTTGACCGTAATAAACTTTATCGCAAATTTTACAAGGAATCTTATAGACACATCCATTAGCATTTTGGGGGGAATTCTTTATCAAAAGTTTTTTTTACTGTATCAAGATTTTTGAATACAACTTTAATATTAAAAGTCTTAAGAAGAGAAGGCATATCAACCAAGTTTTCATGGTAAGGGAGAACCAACATATTTTTAGTTGAATAAGGCTGGTTGTCCCTTTTTGGATGTTTAAAAAGTATTTCTAGCAACTTTAAAAGATTATTCAATATTACATTTCTTGGGTATTTTAAATCATTACCTATTTCATAAATTTTGGATATTTCCTCATCTATGAACTCAGGACTACAAATTCGTAAAGCTCTCAAAAACATTGATGAGAAAACAGACAGTTTGACTCTATCTTGATGCGAGGAATAATAGTGGACATAGGAACAGTTATTTGTAGGTTTTCTGTAAATTTTAAATTTGAATTCATTATTACCGTTAATAATTAAAACATCTAGAAAAGGCAATGAGTTATTTTCTTCAAACTCAACAGTAAAGTTTATAGAATGGGCTAAGCTATTTAATTTTCCAAGGAAACCGTTAACAGCAATTTCAATAAAACAATAAAACTTCTACTGAAAGGCAAAGATGAATTAGTCAAACAATTTACTTCCACTAATCCATCTTTACCTTACATGTATGGATTAATAAAAACACACAAACCAGGGAATCCAGTCAGACCAATTATTAGCTCCATAGGGTCAGTTTCATATAAATTATCCAAATGGCTTGTTGATATTTTGAGCCCAATTGTTGGCAAAATTTCTAACTTTAATGTTAAAAACAACATAGACTTGGTTGATAAATTAAGCTCCTTGACTGACTTAAATGATTTTAACATGGTTAGTTTTGATGTTACTTCCTTGTTTACGAAAGTTCCTGTTGATGATTTATTAAGTTTCTTATCTGAAGAACTCGTTAACTATGATTTACCATTGCCAGTTCCTACTATCATTAAACTTATTAAACTTTGCATTGTTGATGCAAAATTTGTATTTAATGATAAGTTTTACACTCAGAAGTTTGGTATGGCAATGGGAAATCCTCTTTCACCTGTTCTTAGTAACCTATACACGAAATTTTTTGAAACAAGATTGCTTAACACAATCCTCCCTAATAGAGCTAAATGGTTCAGATATGTTGATGATATTTTGTGTCTTATGCCCAAAAATGTAGATATACACCATTTCCTTGGAAAATTAAATTTGCATATTCCGAAAATCACCTGTTTACTATGATCTTATTGCATATATATATATATATATATATATATATATATATATATATATATATATATATATATATATATATATATATATATATATATATAAACATACGTATTTTAATACTCACCCAGAAGGTTGAGAGAACTTTGTGTCTTCCAGATACCACAGCCTGAAAAAAAACACGAGTTTTTTTTATAAGTTTGATAATTCTTGAAAAATATGATGGTACACAGAATATGAATATGAATATGAATATATATATATATATATATATATATATATATATATATATATATATATATATATATATATATATATATATATATATATATATATATAATGAGAGAGAGCCAACAATCACACATGTCACATCCGTTGGAGCCAATCCTAAGGCTAGTTTGTAGTGCTTCCCTAAAGCTGTCTGCCTGGAACGGTTACATAAATGGATTAGTAAATCGACAAACTGATGAGTGAGACCCTTGTGCAACACTTGGGAATCTTAATTGTGGAAACATTTCGCCAGCAAGTAGCTTCATCAGTCGATACACAGGGAAAACGGTGGAAGATGATGAGTTTGAGGCAATCAGTCCCTTAGCTTGGAGACAATGTGTTCAGTCTATCAGTGTTGATAAAAATGCAACAGATACACTGCACACAAACAACTGCACATAGAGAGAAACTTAAGGTGACGTTTCGGTCCAACTTTGACCCGATAAAAGTTTATATACTAGAGACAGGCGAGGCACAAGTATCAATGACATTCAACTAGCGCAGAAAGTAAACAACAAACTGAAATTTAATATCTACATCCAACACACATCAACAGAAGTCTCTAAGACGTTACGGTTATTCTACAAAATTCGTTATTATATTCCTCAATCCGCACTGCAACACTACCGATGTGGAACCTGTGTCTGGTAGTTCACGTCGGCTACACACCTCCAAACAATTGTATCTCAACACAGAGCAGCTCTCAGAAAAATCACAAAGTATACCAATAACCAAGGTTCCTTGACGCTGGTAAAGAACTCTTGATCTAGGGAATTATAACTGATCTCCAGTTACCTGAACTGAACTAGAATGCCTTCCCCCACCTCTTCACAAGCGCTGTATAATCTTGACTAGCGTTGAGCTCCAACTTCATGATGATGATGATGATGATGATGATGATGATGATGATGATGATGATGATGATGATGATGATGATGATGATGATGATGATGATGATGATGATGATGATGATGATGATGATGATGATGATGATGATGATGATGATGATGATGATGATGATGATGATGATGATGATGATGATGATGATGATGATGATGATGATGATGATGATGATGATGATGATGATGATGATGATGATGATGATGATGATGATGATGACGACGATGATGATGATGATACCAAGAGGCAATATGCTATGACTATTCAGATTCCTAAACCTAGTAAATATACATGTAGTTGATACATTCATACATGCTACTGTTCAAAACACTGCAGTACACAGTAACGCTGATGTTAAACTCACCGTACAACTTGTAGAAAATTCTAAGAGAAGAGAGAGGCAGCAGAACAGTAACAAATACCACTTCAATATCCCTCGTATTCCACTGGACATTTACAGAAATTCTATGTAAATTAAAATACCAAAGAAGTGGAATAACTTAGCATACGAGATGACAACCTTCACATTCTTACTCACTTCAACCCCTCAAGGAAGGTTCCTTGACGCTGATGAGGGGCTCTTGATCTTCGGAATTGGATCTGTGCTCCAGTTCCCTGAATTAAGCCTGAATACCTTCCATCCCCCCCACAAGTGCTGTATAATCCTACGAGTTTAGCGCTCCCCCATGATTATACTAATAATAATACTGCAAGACTAGACAGCAACAGGTGCTGTGTGCCTCCATATTATAGTCAGTTTTTATCTGTAAATACCCTTCACTTTTTTGTCTTGTTTCCCCTACATGTATATATGCATGTAAATGAATATTTACATGCATATATACATTAATAAAGCATATATATGCTTTATTAATTAAATGTTTTAACGTGCCCGTAATGCCCTGCATAACCCGGGGCTCTGAAAGTGCACTATTAAATGTCATCCCATTTGTATAACTACATAAAAAGTGCAAATAACGTATTTACCTATTTTACTGTATGTACTGAAATATATATATATATATATATATATATATATATATATATATATATATATATATATATATATATATATATATATATATATATATATATATATATATATATATAAAATATATATATATATATATATATGTCGTGCGAATAGCAGAACTTGCGATCTTGGCTTAAATAGCAACACTCATCTTGCCATATAGAACAAGTGAAAATCTGTGTATGCAATAATTTATCCAAAATCATTTTTAACTAACGAAAAAATATATTTCACTGTGTTTGTTTAGTATTAAATTACTGTAAACAAATCTAAAATATATTTAGTTGGGTTAGGCTAAAATAAATTGTTCTTGTTATAATAAGGTTAGGTAGTTTTTCTAAGATTCATTTGGAGCAAAATTTAAAATTTTTACATTAACATTAATGAAAAATATATCTTTAAACGTATAAGAAATTTTTTTAGAAAGGACTTAATTTTTAAATGAGTTCTTGCTAATTGACCAGTTTTACTATTCGGCACGACAAAATATATATATAATATTATATATATTATATATATATTTATTTAGATATATATTATTAAATATATATATATATATATAATATAAATTTATATTATTAATATATATAAATTTTGATATTGTAATATATATATATTATAAGAATATAAATCATAAAACATAACTGATACTTTCCAAGGTGAACTAACAAGTTATAGTAATAAAGTATTTGATATCTGAACTCACAGATCTACAAATGATCTCATGAAAAAATTTATAGGAGGACAGTGATCAAATCAGACACAACAGGTGGCCTGGAACTTGTCTCAAGTGACACTAACCAAGGTTTATAGGTACAGTAGAAGGGTATAGTGTACTGAACTCAGTTCAGTAAACAAACACAAGTTCAATAGCAAACAACATTTACTTTTCTAGTGAGGGATCAGTTAGAGTTTCTTCTTCATTCTGTCTTCATGTGGTTATTTACGTTGCTAATATACAGTCAGTGGGTTTATAATTATGAAATAGATACGGGCTTATAAGTTATGAACGCAGTTATGTGGGTTATATGAGTTACAAATCATACAGTAGAGGGTTTATAGTTATGAAACATACAATTAGTGGGTTTAGAGTTAGTGAAACATACAGTTACGAGGGTTATCATATAGTTACTGATCAATAAGGGTTACCAATTTACTTCTCAGTACGCCTCAAGCGCATTAATGAAAAAATATTCCGGGCTGATAAGTCAGTCAGGGTAGCTGGAGTGGCTCACAAAATCGCTTGTAAACTTCCACATTATGTGAGGGTTCAATATTAAGAATATAGGTGTGGGTCTATAGGAAATTGCATATCAATCTGTCCAGGGTACTGCAATATCATTCTGTCCAGGGTACTGCAATATCAATCTGTCCAGGGTACTGCAATAATAGTCTGTCCAGGGTACTGCAATATCATTCTGTCCAGGGTGCTGCAATATCATTCTGTCCAGGGTACTGATAGTATTAACATTCTTAAAAGCTGAGAGGAATTTCCAGAGACATTTGTGTGTGTGTGTGTGTGTGTGTGTGTGTGTGTGTGTGTTGTGTGTGTGTGTGTACTCACCTAGTTGTGGTTGCAGGGGTCGAATCGCAGCTCCTGGCCCCGCCTCTTCACTGGCCGCTACTAGGTCACTCTTCCTGCTCCATGAGCTTTATCATACCTCTTCTTAAAGCTATGTATGGATCCTGCCTCCACTACATCACTTCCCAGACTATTACACTTCCTGGCAACTCTGTGACTGAAGAAATACTTCCTAACATCCCTCTGATTCATCTGAGTCTTCAACTTCAAACTGTGACCCCTTGTTGTGTCCCATCTCTAGAACATCCTGTCTCTGTCCACCTTGTTGATTCCTCGCAGTATTTTGTATATCGTTATCATGTCTTCCCTAATCCTCCTGTCCTCCAGCGTCGTCAAGCCGATTTCCCTTAACTTTTCATCGTAGCTCTGAAATTAGTCTTGTTGCAAACCTTTGCACTTTCTCTAATTTCTTGACGTGCTTGACCAGGTGTGGGTTCCAAACTGGTGCTGCATACTCCAGTATGGGCCTGACGTACACGGTGTGCTGAGTCTTGAACGATTCCTTACTGAGGTATCGGAACGCTATTCTTAGGTTTGCCAAGCGCCCATATGCTGCAGCAGTTATCTGGTTGATGTGCGCCTCAGGAGATGTGATCGGTGTTATACTCACCCCAAGATCTTTCTCCTTGAGCGAGGTTTGCAGTCTTTGGCTACCTAGCCTATACTCTGTCTGCGGTCTTCTTTTCCCTTCCCCGATCTTCTTGACTTTGCATTTGGCGGGGTTAAATTCGAGAAGCCAGTTCTTGGACCAGATGTCCAGCCTATCCAGGTCTCTTTGAAGTCCTGCCTGATCCTCATCTGATTTAATTCTCCTCATTAACTTCACATCATCTGTGAACAGGGTCACTTCTGAGTCTATCCCTTCCATCATGTCATTCACATATACCAAAAATAGCACTGGTCCTAGGACTGACCCCTGTGGGACCCCGCTCGTCACAGGCGCCCACTGTGATACCTCATCACATACCATGAATCGTTGTTGGCTCCCTATCAGGTATTCTCTGATCCATTGCAGTGCCCTTCCTGTTATACGCGCATGATCCTCCAGCTTCTGCACTAATCTCATGTGTATGTGTGGGGGGGGGAGGGTGGAGCTACCATTAACAGTGTCATCGTTGTAAGACAGACACACAAACACAACACACACACACACACACACACACACACACTCACTCACACACACACACTCACTCACACACACACACACACACACACACACACACACACACACACACACACACACACGCCACACACTCACTTCACACACACACACACACACCACACACACCACCACACCACACACACACACACACACACACACACACACACACACACACAGCAAGCCAGTAAAAAGGTGTGCTTGGTGGGGCGTTCCGTCGCACTA